ACAAAGGTTTTACATGGGCCATAGTACATAGTCAGAGAGCACGTTAATTATTCAGTAAATTTCTATGCAAATTGCATTCGCTCGTGACTAACGGTGAGAAAAGTGAAAAGCAAAGTATCATCTTGCAAAGCAAATAGCGACGTATCATCGATCATGGTAACGATAAGCAACAATTAGACAATATTTTCATTTTTTTAGAATCTTATTAGTGGCAATAAAATGCATTTGAATCTTAAGAAGATTTGTATGAATAAGATCATCATCTTTCTAAGAAATGAAAACAAATTATACTTTATAAAGCTAGAACAAAAGGTTACTTACAAAAAGATGCTTTTTTTCATTAATTAAAAAAAACATACCGGCAAAAATTTCAAATACTGTCTTTAATAAACAATCCTTTCGCAGTCACGAGCAGCTTCCGGGTTTATTAGTGTCGCGGATTTTTGCTTCTGCTATTCTGCGAGTAAGCGCCTCCTTTCTCCGCGTGTTATCAGTATCATCGGCGTTCTCGACAGTCTTTGGTTTGATGAATAAACGTTTATTGTCGCCGTCGGCGCTTGAGTGACCTCCCATAAATCAACGCAACTGATACTGATCTACCAAGCATACTCATAGAGCGCGCGTTACTTCTGACAATGAGTGGTGTGCAGTCACGTATAATATACACTACACTTATCGCAATATATATAATACAAGTTTCCTCCGAGAGCTTCGACAACGGCGATGACAAGTAGAAGAAAGTCTAAAAAATCACTAACGCGGAAGTTTGTTTCGTTCAAGGCCGCCTATGGTCGCCTAGTGGGATAAGCATAATGAAATTCAGAATGATGATTCTTAACATGTGCACATATATAAAGGAATCAATTTCTTGTGACTGCAGTAGCAATCTGTGTGAGTCTGTATATTTGCCAACGGAGAAAAGCTGATAAAACGTTTAACATGTTCAAATTGGCAAGTATATTTATCGTACATTATGTGTGTCCAATTTAATTTCAAAAAAGTGTACAACTTTGCGACCTTCACTCTTAAATGTCAATGCGTGCGCTTTAGTTGAAAATTTTATTTATTAGCACAAAAGTTTAAAAATATGTAATACATTAAGGTCTTTAGAAATATATAATATATTATGATCAAAGTATATTATGATAGTTGCTGAGATATATCAAATATAAATAGCTTTAATAGTAGCTTTTATATTAAAATTATATATATTTAATGAAGCTTTTAAAAACGCATGTGTTTAAGAGATAAAGTTCTCTTTTTCTCTTTTTCTCTCTTTTTAGTATCGCTTAATTTGTTTAATAATCATGATAAAACGATATCATATATAGTATCTACACTTTCTAAATTTGATAAATCGGAATAGAAAGCGTTTAGTTAGATGTCTTAATTAGAATGCGTAAAGCCGTCTGATTCATCTTCTGTAATCTTTAGCAAGGCGAAATACTCGACAAGTTATTACAAAATTATGGCATCATTGAAATTCGAAATATCACAATGAAATATTTTCGAAACTCTTACAATGCACGGATAATTAGATTTTAATAAAAAAAAATACTATTATTACACGAGTTAAAAAAAGAGATCGGCTGCGCACAGCTTTTGGCACGCGCACGATTGTCTCGATGATTAATTAGATAGAACGAGATGATATATTATCGAATTTTACAATAAGAAAAAGTGAACGCCGAAGCCAGGAGGCTGATTGCATCTTGTTTGCTCGCTCAAGCACATTTCTGACATTTTTCATTATGCTCATAAAACTAGGAAGAAAGAAGAACACGCCGAGCGTGTGTGATTTCGCAACGTGTTCGGCTTTTAAAGCGTAATTATTTTTAATGCTTTGCAGATTTACGTGATGGCTGTGGTAATGACGGTCACATGCACACCAGCACCAGGACTTGCACCAGAACCAAAACCGCTATCACCGTTTGTGGCCACTTATCCACTGGTTTACGCATCGCCCTACGTGAAAGTATATCCATACGCTTCGTATCCTCTGGTGTATTATAACAGCTATAAGTGGCTTTACCCAGGCTCGGTCTATGTCTACTAACATCAATGCAAATCTTTGGAAAATTGCCAACACCGACTCGATATTATTTTGCATAACACAATTTACTGCAACGCGCGCGCGCGCGCGCGCGACAAATGATTCTGTATTTCGTAGAACGTCTCTCAAATAAAATATGCTTGCAAGCACAGAGAGTATATTCTAACTATATGATGATCCCACTTCTCGTTGATGTTTCTAATAACCGCTAATTCCGCTTTGTGAGAGAGATACTTTGCTCTAAGTTAATCAAACGAACTATCAATTCTATTTGTTTCGTCTCTCGGCAGAATTTATGAAATAATGCAAAGTTATATTGCATAATCACGTTTGCGGGGAATAATTCTCATGTTAACTTTGTATCTGTTTGCGATATATTTTTAACATAATATATTAAAGTTTTGCTTTCATATTCTCTCTCTCTCTCTCTCTCTCTCTCTCTCTCTCTCTCTCTCTCCTGCGTATACCACAATCAATAAGTTTTTATAAATAATGTAACGCAAACACACAAATTAAATATTAACATTATACGCATAATAAAATAATAGGTATATCAAATATTTTTATATCTAATATTTTAAAGAGAATTTTATTAATAAAATCATTGGATATCAGTAATGGTTGTGAATACAACAATATATACGAGTTTATAGTCAGTTAAAGTTTACTTTATTTTACTTACAAGGGAATCTCGCAAACTCGAAAATTCTGATTTTGATAAAACTTTCCACATATATATAAAGAAGATATAGATGAATGTAAACATTTTTAGTTGCTGCTCAAAAACGAATATAAAGAGTGAAACTATCCCTTATACAGGGTGTCTTGTAATTGCTGTACAATCTCTCGTGGGCAGGTAGTGAGAGTTATATTGAGTTAAAAAGTTCTTTACCACTTTGCGAGATTTGCAATTACCAAGATCTTAATTAATAAAGATCTGCAAATGAGCGTGTATCGGGCTATCTTACGCGCGTAAAACATAATAAAAAAATGAAATATTCAAAATCATCTAAACAATTAAATGTCCCAAAGCACTATTAAGCGATACGTTAAGAATGACGATAGTTCTGTTGTTGCTAAGATTCCTATAGAAAAGAAAAACTTCTTGTGTTTCATGTTAGGAACCCTTTTTTTTGAATCAGCAAAATCGGTACTTTTGATTTAAAAAATTCACATATAAAACAAAGTATAGCTATTATCGATTGCTAACTTTTGGTAAAGATAAAACTTGAATACGATAAAACTTGAATAAATTTCTCATAAGTTTGACATAAAGGGGTTAAAATTACATATTTAATAAATTACAAGCTTTTAATAAAGGTATCTTATAATAGGCACTTTTATCTTATTATACTTTATGTTATCACAAAAAATATAATATTGTTGATATGAAAATAAAACAGTTGCACGAAAACTTAGGTTTTATTGCGCGAACAGTTTTTGTTGCGAAATTTCTTCAATAAATATAAAAACAGTTTATTTTCTAAAGTAAATGACCAAAAATACGAACATGTTAACGTCAAATGTAAAGTTTGTTTCAACCAAAATGTATTTATATAGAGATATAATAAACAATTTAATACTTATATATTTTTTATAAAACAAGATGTCTGTGTTCTCTCAACTATACTTTTACTATTAATTTCCAGTGAGTCTCGTATAAATATAAATGTGTTACGCGAACTACAAAGAGGTAACATCCGTTTGACCACGGTACGATTGACCACTGTACAATTGACCACGGTACGATTGACCACCGTACGATTGACCACCGTACGATTGACCACGGTACGAGTGACCACTGTACGATTGGACACCGCAAGATTAGCATACTATACGATTGGTCCAATCGTACGTGTCCAATAGTACGTGCAATCGTACTGTGCCCAATTGTACCGTGGTCAAACAGAATACGCCCGCTACAAAGTGTACATTTGCTATTCAACGTTTTTGTGTAACATATGTTATACTTAATAGTATTCAAAAATTGTCATAAAATAAAGTAACTAAATTTTCCATTGCCGATTTCAGAACGCTCCACGTTTGATAAGCAGGAAAGTAAAACAAAAAAACGTTGAACGGAAAAGGGAACAAGAAGAACATTATTGTATATTGTTACAAAATATTTGTATAAAAAATCGGAAAAAAAAGTCAAAAATCAAAATTGTTTTGATAAAATAAATACAACCATCTTTCATAAAGACTAATAAAATGAACGTAAGTGTGACAGCGAGAAAAATGCATCTTATGTCCGTTGACTAAATCACTTTTAGAAAGAGAAAGAATAAAAAAAGAATTATCAATCGGTTTTTTGTGCATAAAGAAAAACCATACATAAAAAAAGATTCTTAGAAAAAACGATAAAATTTGAATAAGTTTCCGAAGATAATATTCAACATTTGCATAGTGACAACATGTAACGTTATAGTTTTATATAATGCACGTATACACATATGATAAAATCGTTACTACTTGTTTTTGCATAAATTTTCAAATATCCTTCTTATATTGGTGTAAAGTTGTCATATTTTTGAAAACCCAAAGTTCTATCACAAGTTTTATCTGCAGGATAGTTCTACAGTTTCTGCTAGCAATAGTTTGATTACCTAGAGAAATCCTAGATCAAAAGTATGAAATGTTATCTTTATTTGACATTGGATTTTAGGAAAACACTTCTACTTTATTAATAAAATCTTATAGTTCTCAATAAGCTCTGTAGTTTCTGACAGATTTTATAAATAATTTCAACCTATGAACGCTTTTTGTTCAACTTTGAATTTTAATACCATCACCGCACGTCAAAAATAAATATGTTGATATTGACGTCGAGAGCAGAATAGACAAAATATAAAAATAATTTTACTTTGTTCTACTGACACCAATATTATTTTATCGCCGATTGCAATTTCAGAGGTTCAGAAGAATGTGTGCAATTAAGAACTCTCACTAAAATGTGTAATTAAAATTTTATTAAAATTCCAAGAACAAGAATAAGGTCAAAATGATGGGATGATTGGGACAAAAGTTTGATAATTTTGTCAATGAACAGTCAGAAAGAAATTGGCCGATTCTTCGCAGATTATTCCAATTGGTCCGCCCGCACATTCTTCTTTCTGGATCCGCTCTCCTCGCGCTCGCTCATGATAGGTCTGATCTGAACTTACACGCAGTGAACGGCGACGGCGGAAAATGAAGAGTCGAAATTGGCGATGACGGGAGCGTGCAATTATTTACTTTTCTTAGAGCTTTCCTTTTAAAGCATTAAGAAGACAATTTACAAGAAAATAAGAGATGTATTTTTTTGTTGTTTTCCGGGCTGTGTCGTCGTGAGACTCGGTGGTGAAAGTGAGTTTACGCTGGTTCTCTTAGTCTAACCGTGAAGGGCGAGGGCGGGAACGGCAGCATGGCCGGCAAGAACGGTCCTGGTTACAACAGGAGCAGTGTGAACAGCGGGAGCAATAGGCTGAGCAATGACAGCGGGAGCGTGGGCAGCGAGGGCAAGCGCTGGAGCAGCAGCAACCGCTGGAGCAACGATCGGGCCAGTACCAGCACTGATGGCAACGCCGGTAAGGCCTCCGGGAGCGGCAAAGGCAACAGCCAGGATGACGAGGAAGACAGCCTATGAAAAATTTTAAGTAGATTTAAAATTCTAACTGTCTTTTTAATTCAATATTATTCTGTCAAATCGGTTCTGTGTCAGTAGTAGTGTTTTGTCAAGATCTCACTACAAGAAAACCAACAATGAGAATAAATGAAATCACATGATAATTGATGTTGTAAATCACAAAATGAATGAATTATGTACATTTTAATAGCAAACAATTCAAATATGTGATAATTCATAAACGCTTCAGAACTAGTTTTACGATCATTCTGTTTATATTAATAAGTAGGAAGTAAGTTAAATATTTTGTCCTAAACTGCTAACTAAACCGATTGATCGTTAAAAACAGAGCGCACCCGACGATTGAGAATCGTTACGTAAGACATTGCGAGGACATGAAGTTCGATCAAAGAATCGAAAAAAAAAACTGCATTCCGCTTTAGTAGTAGCGGCAGCGCGGCACTATTGACTAACACACACAATATGCATGCTTGAGTGAGTTTGCTCGCATAGATTTTTGCTGGAAAGAGAGGTGATTTGCTATAAACACAGTGAACGGCGTAAGGGCTTCGTTGTCGTCGTCGTCGTCGTCGTGTATGCGTGCATACGCCGAAGCAGAAAGGTCATAGTAAAAGTCGAGAGAGGAGAGGCCGGGAATTTTTTTTCCTCTGTATACATGTTTACCCGTGAGATAGCTGCTCTTTATAGATCACGAAGATACAATAGTAAAAAAGTTTCCAAGACGGAGTATTATATATCCCTTTATCTTAATATATGCTATTATATCTGATAATATATCTCTATTTATTTAAGATATAAACGCGCGTATTCTCTCTCTCTCTCTCTCACTCTCTCACTCTCTCTCTCTCTCTCTCTCTCTGATTCAGTTAAAGCTTCTTTGACAACAAAAAAGTTAGAAAGACCAAAATTCGGAGCGCGAGTTTGCAAAGTATATATGTATCTTTCGCGTAGGTCTACTTGTATAGATAGACTTGTAAAACCGGATTTTCTGCTTAATAGTAACGCGTATTATAATAATTCTTTTTGATCGACAATTCTACAATAGAACTTAAGAATCGTATTTGCGACAAATCATTCGAATTAGAGAGAATAAATGATTGGAAATGTACCAAAGTGTTTATGTATAATGAAAATTTGCATTTCAGAAAACCGATTGATATTCTGCATTGTATTGTATAGTCTTTACAGAACATTTGGGTCTTATTATAGAAGTCAGAGTAGGCATTACAAGTATTCTGATAAGTATTAGTGTGTATTTTGATAGACGCGATAGTCAATAATAAATATAGAATAATTTAGTTGAGCAATTTTATATACATTCTAAAAACAATAAAATAGAGATAATTGTTTCAGCTTACCAGCTTGAACATGTTGATTGGTTGTTGATTGCTTGTTACTTCTCGGAAGGAAGTCAACTTATGCCTGTTTAGTCGACTCGAGAGCCTTATATATTGCGTTCGACTTTTAAAAAATACTATAAATTTGATCACGTGATTCTTGGTATCTGTATGACGATATATGCCGGTTAGTTGAGTCAGCCGATCACTGAACGTAGTGGGATAAATGCATGACCAATCGTCGCGTACGATACTGGTTGCAGCATTCCATCGCTTTGCCAATAATGCGCTTTCAACCCCTCGCGTAGATCTCGAGAATTAGGTTAAGACATTCTGTGTTGTAAGACACAGCACAAATGATATCTGCACAACACACGCATAGCGACTCACGTGTGGGGTAAACTGTATATTACGCGTATGAACGAAAAAAGAAGTCGCGGCTAGCGCTTACCGTTTAATGCAACTTCGTTTAATAAAGACGAAATTAAGCTCCACATTTGCGAATTTTTTTCATCGTTTATTGTTTTCCGAATACATTTACGACAAACATCTTTTATGAGTAAATTTCTACAAAATGGAATTTAAGTTTTAGTAATACTTTTGGAGTTTCTATGAAGACAAAAGAGAAAGTTTCTTTCTCTTTAAAAAATATTTTTATTTTAAAGATCGAAAAAATTATATAATGTTTTATTCGAAAAGTTATTGTAGTCAAATCAATTTTGAAACAACTTTTTTTTCGTGAGAGTATATCAGTCGTACATATTTTACGTAATATAATATTATTATTTAAGTCAACCATCAAGATAAAAACATAGGATTATCATTAAAACTTCTACATGGCATTGTAATTTTAATTATTTAAGACTGCGCTGATTTGATTGTATTTTACAAATATTTTTACTTAAGTTATATCTGTTGCAAATATAAGTTAGAATTTATTTCTCTATGTTTTAACTATACTCAGGAATTTTGATATGATAATTAACGCAATTATGAGGATTAGAACAATTCCAGGATTATTTGAGAAATAAATATCTGAAATTAAAAAAACAATTTAATTCGCATGACATTGATATTCTAGCTGTCGTGGTGAATCTCTAGAAATGTTTTTCGAATCAATCAAACTTTTATTAAAATAATAACAAGATAAAGAAGTATTATATACTGTAGTTATATTATTATATAACTACATATACTGTCATGTAGTGTTTCTCACATATGCTAAATTAGCACTACAGTATCGTAATACAGTTACGATATTATGACTCGAATTACAAACATTAAGAAATGCACGGCGGTAAAACAAGTGCGATATCGAATGTCGCGTGCGTCAACTTCATATAAGTTTGCCATATCTTTTCGATAGACACACATACGGGTGTAATATGAGGTAATCATATTAAGATGTATCTATGTACGTGCTTTTTATTTGGCATAATAAATTTGATAGAATCAATAAGAATAAGATTGTAAATAGCGAGATACAAAATTTTGTCAAGCAAACGTGCAATATCTGTCGGACTTTTGCTTGAGTACTAGTTCACACTTAAGTTCTCGTTCATGTATTAGTTTACATCTTGTCTTCTATCGTGAAACAAGAGAAGCGTTTATAGGACAGAAAGAAAATATATTTTCGATTTGATACATTTGCCTCTATCGTCAACCGTTTGATAAAGATGAGAATAATATATTTGTGCATATAGTAAGCAAAAAGATAATTTCCAAGTTTAACACAAACATTTTGCTGTTTATCAATTTATAAGAAAATTGATCGCTTTTGCAGATATACTATAAAACTATTTGTAAGACTCATAACGGAAGCATCACTTCTTGTCGTCTAACGTGAAACTGATAGCAAATTATCGTTCGTCAAACTACAAATATATCTTAATTATTTACTTTTCTTTAAATTATTTTCTAACTTTATTTGCTCTATCTATTGAGAATAATTTTGCATTGTTTTGTAAATTGGAGAAAGTTTTAATTTTAATTTATTTTGTGTGTGTGTACACATAATACACATGTGTGTATATATACACACACACACATATAATAATCACCACATTGTTTTTCTTTCTTTTGTACAATTATTAAATTGAGCAATTGCACCTTTATGATATTATGTAAATAAATAGTAATAATTCGTAACATAAATAAAATACGACAATGTTTTATTCTCTTATAAAAGTCACAATAAGTAGCCGCGTATATTTCTGTAAATATATACAATTTGCATACAAAATAGAGATTTCATGTAAAATTACGTTATTGAAAATTAATAAGATGTTTATATAATGATACTAAGAGAAATATAAAGTGATGTATCGCGAAAAATGCGTCACACACATACAGACATATCTGTTATTATTTTATAGTATATTTTACGTGACACATAAGTTTAAGCGTACATCTAACATATGACTGCTGTGATCATTATATATAATAGAATTATGTCTATAACATATATTATACATATTATATAGTCTATAATTGTTGTCAGTAAGCGCATTGCCTTACTGATGAGAAATAAATGTTTCACGGTAGAGACCGTTACAAGGCTGTTGCAAGAAAGTGTTAGATTTCATCACATATAAAGAAAGAATAATATAATTTTCGTAACTTTATCCCAAACCAAGATAAAAAAAATCCAATAAATTCATCAATATTTTAACCAGCTGTCTATAATATGTAATTTATCTGCTTAATTTATACGATTTATCTTGTATAACAGGTTTGCTCGTAAAAATCAATCTGTAAAATAATTAGTATATTCTAGTAATTTTTGTATAAACACATACACTATCACTTATTTATAAAATTTATAAAAAGAGAAGAAAGCCTAATCTCATTTTTAATGTCCAATATTTTAGAAATAAAACACATTGATGTAATAAAAACGGCACTGCCTTTGAATTAGTATATCGTAACAAAAAAAGAGAACAAGATAGTAACTCAATCTATACACATTCTATATAGATTGTGTGCCAATACTTTCGTCTATGTGTCTATTGTATTTATATCGTTTTTTATAAATATAAAAGGCGAGAAATACATACCTATCAAGAGAAACCGCGACTAGACTATAAACGGAGGCTGCCACGGAGACCCCCTGTATATAAGCGACTGCTTTGCACATGAACCATCCCAAGATCCACGCTGAAACAAATAATTATCGTTTCGAGTATTATCACAAAACTTTAGCAATTGCCACAACTACTCCAGAAAACTTTTTACGTAATTGACTTATGAGGATCAAAATTTCAGTACAGCAGCAAAATATAAAAAGAAAGAATATTCAAGACAAGGTTATAATATTAAAAGGATAATACTAATTATGTGGTTTGCACAGTGTCGACAAATAAAAAACATATAGAAATTACAAGTATAATAAAGCTTTTTTACTCAGATTTTTCTGTAACTATACAGAGTTGATATTTTAAATATTATAGTATAATTAGGTTTTTACAGAAAAGTTTTATGATGAGATTTTATGTATATAATTTTTATAATTATATATATTTTTTATATATATAATTTTTATAAATAATTTAAAATAAGTTAAAGTTGGTTATCTGAACGAGCAAACAGAAAAAATAGAAAGAAGAAGAAAATGAAGAAGAAGAAAAAGAAAGAGAGAGAGAGAGAGAGAGAGAGAGAGAGAAGAGTAATAGAGAAGAGATATTAATTATATATCACAGCCGCAGCGCTTATGCAAAACACTTATGTGCTTGATTGATTAAAAATTAATAAAGCTCCTGGATACTGCTCGTCTAAAAAAATTCATATTGCTTAAAAATTTATCTTTATTATTGTGTTTACAGATCACTTTTTAAAAACTATAAATGTTATTTTTTAAGCAGAATACCATTAGATATATATATATTACATAAACATTTAGATATATTACTATTGAATTCTAGAAAAATAACATATATTAATTTCATTATTTATTTTTTTTCTAAAATGTTATTGTATTCAGTATTAAATATAATAATAAAAAATATAATAATTAATAATATTATATAATAATTACTTTTGCAAAAGTGTAAATATATAAATCTATAGTATATTTTATATATAGTATATCTATAATATAATATCTATAATAATTACTTTTACAAAAGTGTAAATATATAAATCTATAGTATATTTTATATATATCTATAGTATATATATGAGAGAAGTCTAAAATAACGAAATGTTTAACTAAAGTCGTCGATAATTGTTTGCAATTGATAGCAAATAATTATTTCATAATATAATGTTAATACTATTTAACAGTATAATAATATGATTAATAAAAAGCTTATTGCGTTAGCATTACAATAAAATTATGTAAAAAAATAACAAAAGAAAGAAAAACTTTAGTAAAGATTTATCAAAAAAAAAGGTCACTTGTATCGAATGACACTTATCGTATAACATTGCCGAAAACTTAAACAGTGTTATATGAAAAGAGTAATAGTGGGTTTTGCAACTAACTTCAGCTTGTATATATTTTGTCAGTTAGCAATCTCCGCCAGAAGTTTTACAAAATTATATTGCGCTATTGCTGCTTTAAAATAAAGAAAAAGTGCCGTAAAATCTAATATCAAGTATAGAATAGATTGGAATAGTCACTGTAACGTGCGTAATGCTGACTAGTATCTGCTAGTCATGCGCAAGATGTAGGCGAGATATTTGATAGGTATTTTCCTTAGTGAGAAACGCATGTTTCTTGAATTTAATATCGCCTTTTGCCCTTTTTTTTACATTTCGTGTAGATCGAGTAACGCATACGTTTGACTGTACTGCCTGACACCGCATTGTGCATGGAGTAAATGGTGAGACAAAAATCACATAGAAAGAAATCTTCCATATAGACAACCGTAAATTATAGCCGTTAAATCGATTAATTTATCGATTTATTTATTCTATTAAATAATTTTTTTTATTTCAATTTGGCGAGTTAAACTATAGTATTAATGTATTTACTTAAAGGCGACTGACTACAACCAGCAAATAATTTATCACTTATATAGTGATATAAGCTATAAGAGCTAGCGATACAACAAGTATAAGGATAAGGATACCTAAGTAAAATAAGAATCATACTTTGTTTGCAATTAAATTTTATCATT